TAACAGCAGTAAAACAAGAAGGAAATAATCAAATACCTCTAATGGTAGAAACTCTAATAATATCAATCATCCATAATTTTATGGGCGACTCTAATACTTTTGAAGAAAAAACAAGTACCCTGCTACATAATCTAAGGTGTCCCACTCTAGGAGATTTTAGATGGTATGTAGATAATTTTATAATTATGGTAATGACTAGAACAGATTGTAAAGAAACTTTTTAGAAAGAAAGATTTATTACGGGACTACCCCCAGTATTCGCAACAAAAGTACGAGAAAAATTAGCACAAAAATACCCTGAACCATTACAAGATATAACCTATGGAAAAATAATTTCAACCATTAAAAACACTACTTTAGAAATATGTAATAATCTAAAATTGGAAAAGCAGATTAAAAGACAACAAGAAAGTGGTACAAAAGAATTAGGAGATTTTTGTATACAATATGGACACGAAAGATTAGATCCCCCTTCCAGAAAAATTAAGAAGAAACAAATAATTAAACGGAAATTCTCTCAGAATAATAATAGAAACATCGTTAGAAACTTTAAAAGAAATATAAGAACAAACACATCTACAAATAATAATCAATCTAATCCCAAGAAAGGAATAGTTTGTTATAAATGTGGAAGATACGGACACATGAAAAAAGATTGTAGAGTAAAAGAAAGAATACAAAACTTAGACATGAGTGAAGAAATCAAAAATCAGATAGCAAAAATATTGTTATATGAGTCAGAAGAAGATATTAATAATCTGATAGAACCTAGTAGCAGTGAATATGAACCTACTACAAGTGAAAATGAGAATGAAGAAAATTGTGACTGTATATTTAACATAAATGTCCTAACTACAGAAACTAAAATAGTTCTAGAAATGGTAGATAAACTTCCAAATGAAGAAGTTAATCTAGAATATTTAACTAGATTAAAAACATTAATATTAAGTGAGAAAGAAGCGGAAACAGTATCAAACGAAGTAAGTGGTTATGATTTTTCCAAAATATTACGTAAAGCAATAAATAAAGAAAAATCAGTAAACTTACAAGATTTACAAAAAGAAATAAGCCTTTTAAAAGAAGAAATTAAAGAAATCAAAATTCAATTAGTAGAATTAAAAATAAAAAATGAAATACAAGAAGAAAAAATGAAAATTATAAATAATAAAAATATATTAAATAATGAATCAACCTCCGAGAAGGTTAATCAATTAAAAATTCTACAACAAAAATGGCATATAAAAGCTACATTAAAAATTGGAAATAGTTTTCATAAACAATTTACAGCTTTAGTAGATTCTGGAGTCGATATAAACTGTATAAGAGAAGGATTGATACCTACAAAATTTTATGAAAAAACTTTACAAACCTTAAGAACAACCAACTCTGAAAAATTAAAAGTAAAATATAAATTGTCAAACGCTAGTATATGTAATAAGGGAACTTGTTTCAAAAATACTTTTATTTTAACCCCTGATATTAGTGAAGAAATGATATTAGGAACCCCATTTCTAGCATTAATTTACCCTTTCGAAGTATCCGAACAAGGAATAAAACATAAAAGCCTCTTATTCGAATTCATTAAACCAATAAAAAATAAAGAAATACAATTAGTGACTGATGTAAATGAAGAAAACTTTTTATTAAAATTAGAAGCTAAAAATACTCATATAAAATATTTAAAACAAGAAATAGCATATAAAAGAATAGAAGAACAGTTAAAAAATCCCGAAGTAATTACCATCTTTAAAAATATAGAACAAGAAATTATAAAAGAAGTATGTGCAGAGGTTCCTACTGCCTTTTGGAATAGACATACTTTTGAAATAGAATTACCCTATGAAGAAAGATTTTTAGAAAAGAATATTCCTACTAAAGCCAAACCAGTACAACTAAATAAATAAATGCTAGAATACTGTAGAAAAGAAATAAAATCTTTTTTAGATAAAAAACTTATTAGACCAAGCAAATCTCCTTGGAGTTGTGCTGCATTCTATGTGTAAAATGCCTCCAAAATAGAAAGAGGAGAACCAAGGATGATAATAAATTATAAACCTCTAAATAAAGTCTTAAAATGGATTAGGTATCCTCTACCTAATAAAACTAAATTAATAAGCAGAATTTATAAAGCCAATATATTTTCTAAATTTGACATGAAGAGTGGATATTATCAAATTAAATTAAAAGAACAAGATAAATATAAAACTGCTTTTATTGTACCTTTTGGGCAATGCGAATGGAATGTAATGCCTATGGGTTTAAAAAATGCACCTTCAGAATTTCAAAAAATAATGAATGATATACTAAACCCTTATTCAAAATTTGCCATTGTCTACATTGACGATGTATTAATATTCTCCGAATCAATAGAACAACATAAAAAACATTTAAGAATATTTAAAAATATTATAAAAACCAATGGAATGGTAATATCACAAAAGAAAATAAAATTAGCCCAAACACAGATTAGATTTTTAGGCCATGAAATAAATAAAGGAACTATAACCCCTATTAAAAGAAGTATTGAATTTGCAGAAAAATTTTCTAATGAAATAAAAGATAAATTGTAATTACAAAGATTTTTAGGATGTTTAAACTATGTATCAGAATTTATACCTAATATTCGAATATTATGTAAACCTCTTTTCAATAGATTAAGAAAAAATCCTAAACCTTGGACCCCGAAATGACTAAGATAGTAATAGAAGTCAAAAAATTAGTTAAGACTCTACCCTGTCTAGGAATACCTAATCCAGAGGCAAAAATAATCATAGAAACCGATGCCTCTTATATGGGATACGGAGGAATATTAAAACTACATTTACCTAATACTCCCGAACAAATAGTAAGATATCATTCAGGAATATGAAATGAATCCCAAAGAAATTATAGCACTATTAAAAATGAAATTTTAAGCATAGTTTTAAATATACAAAAATTTCAACATGATTTAATAAATAAATTTTTTTTATTAAGAATTGATTGTAAATCTGCAAAAGAAGTTTTAGAAAAAGATGTAAAAAATATAATTTCAAAACAAATATTTGCAAGATGGAAAAGTTTATTATCTTGCTTTGAATTTGACATAGAATTTATAAAAGGAAAAGAAAATTCAATACCAGATTTTCTAACAAGAGAATTTTTGCAGGGCCACTCCCATGGCAACCCCCTCTAAAAAACCAAATACCCCTGAAAAGAATAAAACAGAAAATCCTAAGTCATCTACATTGTCTCTAGATGACTTTGCTCCTTCATATTCAAAAACCATAGCCACCTGAAAACTTCCTACTTCCATAACCACTCTCCCCAACAGATTTACTCCATTAACCCCACAAAAAGCTCAAAATACTTCTCCTGAAACAACCCCGAAGAAAGAATTCCATATAAAAGTAGGATGCCAGAAGATAATCACTCTAGAAGAAGATTGGAATACAAAAGATGTATATGGAATACTTAAAAGGTTAGCTCCTCCAGGATGGAGTTGGATCCCTAGATCAGAAAATCTAAAGAAAACCAAAAAAATTTACCAATTCATTTTAATAGATACTGGCTCGGCCGAAATAACTCCCATCCTTAATGAAAGAGATCCCTCTATCATTAGTTACTCAAAATTAAGAATTATTAAAATAATTTCCTACCCAGAATGGAATCAACATCCATTCACTGATAAGAGCTTTTCGAGGCCCTTTGACCCCCCCCATCTTATAATTACTTTGATTATCAAGAAGCCTGGAACAAAATACTCTTCGACACAAACCCTAGGCATTCCAGGTATATCTGTTTCAAAAAGGAAATACCCAATTCATTACCCAACTGGTTTATTGACTGGTTCAATCAAATTGGTCCTGTTTAGGCAATAATCCCTGAGAAAATCATGAAGATATATCAGAAATACAAAAACCTTACTCCTCAATACCCTCCATATCTTCGAATTATAAAATTCTGCTCAACTATGGGAATAAGCTGGCTTTTGGCCCACATTCCTGAAGTTCATCAACATAAAGACGAAACCTACCCAAAAACCCTCTGCTTAAAAACCAAAGTTTTTTTGTGGAAGAAATTTGAAGTCCAATATGTAGAAGAAAAGTTCGAGAATTGGAAGAAAATGGGCCTTATTAGTCAAAAAGGCCCAATACCAAAAGAAATTCCCTCAATAAAAGAAAAAGGAAAATCTATAATAGATTTATCACAACTCCCCTCATCAAAAATTGAAAAAGCCCAATTAAAACAAAAAATGCTCGAAGCATTATCCTCTTTGGGCTTTGATGAAGAAGACGAAGAAAACGAAGCTATCATTAATATTCAAGACGCACAAGATCCTTATGAAGACGAAGAAGAAAATGTTGATTTTGATCAGTTCTAGCAACTAATTCATCCAACCAAAAAAGAACTGCAAAGAAGAATTCATAATATTATGAAGAAATTAGAAGAAGATCCTCATGAAATATCTCTATAAGAAAAGCATCTTAGTAAGAAGCTGGGTTTATCTGACCCATCGCCCAACAGATGCTATAGTTCCTCTTTCAGAAGAAGACTCAGTGGATTCCCTACGCAAAGAAAATGGGGGTCCACAAAGTTGAAAAGAAAAGTCATTGTAATTATGTACTTTTGTTTTTAGCGTCGGCTGCCAAAAGTAAAGGCGTGTTAGTTGTAATTATCTTTTGTTTTTAGCACAAGTGTTTCTTGTAATTATGTCTTTGGTCGACCACTGATTAATTCTTTATTATCTATCCTATATATGTACAATCTAGTTTCATTCTCTTGTTAATGATGAGAGGAATTCTTCATTTTTATTTTTACGTTTATTTTTATTTTTTAAATTCAGGCAACAATATGCAGAAATTGAACAAATTGTTCAAAACATAATAAATATACTGCGTCCCAACTTATTAAGTCTTCCAAATCATAATCTAGTTGGGATAGAGTCTCGGATTGAAGAATTAGCAAATGTTCTATGTTTGGAGTCAGTTGATGATGTTCGAGTTGTTGGCATTAGTGGGATGGGTGGCATAGGAAAAACAACTCTTGCTCGCGCTTTATATGAAAGATTCTCTCATCAATATGATTTTCATGGTTTCATTGATGAAGTAAGCAAAATTTATCAAGATTCAAGTTCATTTGGTTTACAGAAGCAGTTACTTTCCCAGAGTCTAAAGGAGAAAAATCTAGAGATTTGCAATGCTTCGGAGGGAACATGTTTGGTGTGGACCAGGCTACACAATGCGAAGGCACTTGTTGTTTTTGACAATGTTGATGACATTGAACAACTAAGGATGTTTACAGGGAACAGAGACACTATGTTGCGTGAATGTTTGGGTGGAGGGAGCAGAATCATCGTAATTTCCAGGGATGAGCATGTATTGAGGACACATGGAGTAGATGATGTTTATAACGTCCGCCCTTTGACTGGAAAAAATGCTGTCGAGTTGTTTTGTAGAAATGCCTTCAGAGTTAATTATATTTTGAGTGAATATGAAGAATTGGCAGGTGAAGTTCTATCGCATGCTCAGGGGCATCCCTTGGCAATTAAAGTAATTGGCTCATCTCTGTTTGGTCGAAACGTATCACAATGGAAAGGTGCATTGGGTAGGCTCAAAGAGAATAAAAGTAGAAATATTATGGATGTTTTGCGCATAAGTTTTGATCAGCTGGATGAAGGAGACAAAGGAATATTTTTGGATATTGCTTGCTTCTTCTGCAGTGATTATAAAGAAAAATATGTGAATGAAGTTTTAAATTTCCGAGGATTTCATCCAGAATATGGCATACAAGTTCTGGTTGATAAATCACTCATAACTACTGATCATGGGTGGATTTATATGCATAGGTTGTTGAGAGATTTAGGCAAGTGTATTGTACGAGAAAAATCACCTAAGGAGCCTATAAAGTGGAGTAGGTTGTGGGATTTCCAAGATCTCCACAATGCCTTATTAGACAATCAGGTAAAATTGTATTGTTTGATTTATAAATATTAAGATTGTCAGTCTTTTAGAATCTATAAATACTTCAAAAAACCTACTAATTTGATTCTTGTGTACAATGTTTGTAGGCCACTGAAAACCTTGAAGCTATCGTTGTTTCAGGTGATAAGTTCAATAGGACTGTTAAACCGACAATGATGGCAGATGGTCTATCAAAAATTAAGCACCTTAAGTTGCTTCAACTTCAGTACTTGAACTTCTCCGGAAGTCTCAGTCATCTTTCGAATGAAGTAGGGTATCTTACATGGAAAGCATTTCCTTTTGAGTGTTTGCCTCAAAGTTTTCAACCAGATAAACTGATTGAGTTAAACCTTAGTGAGAGCAACATTCAACGACTATGGACAGGCAGAAAGGTAGCGTACTTTTTTTTCTATTTCTATTTTTTTAATATAAACCAATTAATTGACAAACTGTATTTTCATTTAAATTATTTTTTAATTAGTTGGTATCATTATTAATTTTGTCTTCTTCTTGCCCATTGCTGTAGCCTCTACACAATTTGAAACGTTTGGATCTCTCTTTCTCAAAAAATCTTGTTGAGATGCCAGATCTTGGAGACGCCCTAAATCTCGAATGGCTAGATCTTGAAGGATGCATACAGCTCAAAAAAATCAGTCCATCCATTGGCCTTCTGAGAAAGCTTGCTGTTTTGAATTTGAAAAACTGCATAAACCTAGTAAGCTTACCCAAGAACCTATTGGGCCTGACTTCTCTTGAATATCTCAGTGTCTCTGGGTGTTCAAAACTGTATAATAATCAGTTATTAGATGAAGGACGGAATGGAGAGCATTCGAAGAAGCTTTGTTTAGTTGAAGATGCTTTCCATTCCGAGACAAAATCCTCTTTTATTAAAAAAATGCTTTCGTGGCCTTTGGATCTGTTGTATTCCAGAGCACAGAGAGAGTCAGTTAGTTGTTTAACACCTTCCTCTCCTACTCTGCCTTGTTTGCGTGAACTTGATCTAAGTTTCAGTAACTTAGTTCATATCCCTGATGCCATTGGAAAGTTACATTGCTTAGAAAGGCTAAATTTAAAGGGAAACAATTTTGTTACGCTTCCCAGCCTCAAGGACCTTTTCAGACTCTATAATTTAAACTTACAGCATTGCACGCGCTTGAAATATTGTCCTGATCTCCCTTCACGAGTTGACTTGCCCTCAAGACGTTACAGTCTGTTCTTGCCATATTCACCTACTTTCAATTCACGTCCAGTTAAACACGACGAAGTTGTTGGAGGATTAAACATTTTCAACTGTCCAGAATTAGTTGATAGGGAACGGTGCACTAGCATGGGTGTTTCATGGATGATACAAATTGTTCAGGTGTGCATGTTCCTTCCTTCTTCTTCCCTTCTTTTCTTTTTACTTATGTGGATGATAAAAATTGATAGGGAAACCAGCAACTAACGCATAACTCTGCTGTGCTACAAGGCGAACCACCAATGCAGATGTTTTCCAGTTAGTCATTTCGGTCCAAATATTGAGAGTATTATCCCTGGAAATGAAATACCGAGGTGGTTTAACAATGAGCATGTGAGCATTGACAATTCAATAGTCATCGATGCATCTTCCGTAGCGCAGGACAATTATTGGATTGGAGTTGTGTGTTGTGTAATATTCCAGATACGGAAAATGACTTCTCCAACAACATCACCACGTTCCGGTGATATAATAATTCCTGTGGATGTCAGAAGAGATCTAGTGATGGACGAATCAGATCACATGTGGTTATTCTATTTCAGTCGGCAAGAGTTCATTAATGCATGCAACAATAGGAACATACTTGGTTACTTGAAATTGAAAATTAAAATAGGAGGCTTGGAAGATTTTCGTGATTTATTGGTAAATTCGGTGAACAAGAAAGAGAAAATTTATCCGGTGAAGGAATTCTGGCAAACGGATAAGAAATTTTTTCGAGGTGAAGTGAAGAAATACGGGTACAGTTGGGTATCTGAACAAGATCTAGAACTATCAAATGCGACAATGATGTATGGTGGAAATTTGACAACTCGTAAACGCAAGTTTTTGGCTATGGAAGAAAACAAGTAGGAACAAGATTTCAGATACACTTCCATCATTTTGAAGAATGTAAAAAGGACTGGTTAAATAATATATAAACCCATCTAAGTATGATTTTAAGAAGACATTTTTTTTTTTTTTGTAATTTTCCTTGTACGCTTTTTACTTTGGGTGAAGAAAAAAATTGATCCGTCTTTCACTTTGCTTTTCTAGTCCATCCAAATCGGAAAACCAAATCACGGAGATAATAAAAGATATCATGAAGTACCTCTGCTCTGTTTTTGACAGAGTCAGTTAAACTGAACTAATATGAATATGAAAATATAACAAACGATTATTAAATTTTTAACCTTACTACGCCTTAACAGAACATTGATAATTTATTGGCAACTTAATTTGGTGGAAGGTTGATACAAGATGCCAAGAGAATTCGACCATGCTACTCCAAAGAAATTTTCATGTAACCAACCATCTTCATCCGCAGGGTCAATTCCCAAACCTTACTATATTTCTTCGCTCCGCAACCTTACCCGAACTGTTGCAAGCAATTAAAGGGTCTCATATTTTCGTTGTGGTCTTCTCAAAGAACTATGCTTCCTCCACACGGTGCTTGCGTGAACTTGCGCACATCTGCAATTGCATTGAAACACCAGAAAGACGCGTTCTACCTATTTTTTATGATGTTGTTGGATCCGTGAGATGTGCGAAAACAAAGTGGATATTATGAGAATGCCTTTACTGAACATGATGAAAAATTCAGAAAAGATAATGAGATGATGGAGGGGATTCAGAGATGGAGAGAAGCTCTTACACGCGTGGCCAATCACTCTGGCTGGGATATCCGAAACAAGTACGTAATCCCCTCAGGTTTCTCCGTGGATCTTATTGTTATTACCTGGATTAATAAAGAAGGCTTCCGAGCTCCTTCCTGTTTGGCCAAGGATGTATGAACCTAGTTAGGGAATTCCCATAAAATTAAGTCAGTGAATGAAAGAAAATGGGTACGAGAATGCGATGATTTAAGTAAAGGAGATACTAACCTATTTAGACGACTGTGTTATTATCTTAGGAGTATAAACATTTTATCTTTATTTACTAGATGGATAAATAAAATTTTAAGGTAGTTTTGGTATATCTTGAAGTGAGGTAGTATCCAAACATTTCGGATATTATTGAAATATTTTTTCAACTCACCTTAATAGTTATAGTATTGAACTATTTCAGGGAATAGCTAATATTTTAAGGTAGTTTTCTTATATTTTGAAGTGAGTTTGTATGCAAGAAATATTTTCTCAACACACCTCGATAGTTATAGTATTAAACTATTTTAGGTTCAATTAAGTACATAAATCTTCTAAATTTAGAGTGGATTGATATATGCAGGTGTATTATTATTATTAGTGACAAGAGTTTATTATTATTATTATTAGAGTGTATGCAGCTCAACAGTTATAGTATTGAGTTTATTATGGGGTTCTATCGAAAAACTTATTAATTAGCAAAAATTTGTAATCATTAGAAACTATTCAACTCCTTTGCCTTTTTCCTTTATTGTCTTTCCGAGCGTGGTTTCATTTGCATTCTCTCGTTTCTCAACAACCTTTGTTGCAACTTTCATGATCTTCATTTGCATTCTTCCTCTCATCCTTGTTTTTACAAAGATACCTTGTTATCCCTTCTGTTGGTAGGGAAAATCGATATAGGGATCGAAGGACGGATGGAAGAAAATCGAGAATTTAAATCAAAAGATGATTAGAAAAAGATTCGATGACTATGTATTAGTATGAAAACATCGATCGAGAACTGAATCAAGAATCGAAAGAAGGAAAAATCAAGAATCTAGATTCGATGTCTATTGTTGAAGGAAATCAAGAAATTGGAATCAAGAATCGAAAGAAGGAAAAATCGAGAATCTAGATTTGATGTCTATTGTTAAAGGAAATCGAGAAATAGGAATTGAGAATCGAAAGAGGGAAAAATCGAGAATCGAAAGAGGGAAAATCGAGAAGCTGAATCGAGAATCGAAAAAGGGAAAATCAAGAATCGGAAAAGGGGAAAAATCGAGAAACGAAATCGAGAATGGATAGTTTGATTGAGGAAAATCGAGAAATAATAATCGAAAGAAAATAGAAATTTCGATAAATTATGGGGAAGTGAAAAATTGATGAAAGGTATTGAGTGGAAAGTTAGAAATAGTTTTGAATACTCGATAATTGGAGTCGAGATTAAAGGGACGGTTATCACGCACATAGAACGTGGGAAACGATTTTTTAACCGTGGCTAAGATAGAGATTGAGGGGTAGTTAAAAGTACGTGCACATGGAACGTGGTAGCAGTTTTTTAACTGTTCTTAGGAGGTTACCTGAAGGATACTCTATAAATAGAGCCAAGTTTGAAGGAAAATGGGAGATTGGCAGAGACAACAGAAACGCAAGTGAAAAGTCTATAGGAGAATGACGCATCATGAAGTTTCTAATGCTCTGGATTTCCATTTTTATTGATTGTCTTTACCGCTTTCTTTACTTTCCCTGGTAATTTACATTCGTTCAGTCATTTACATTTATCAACTTTCAATTTCTGCACTTTAATTACTTGTCATTTACTTCAATTGCAAATTAAGGTTCTGTACTTTCAAATTCTCGTCATTTACTTCAATTGCAATTTAAGGTTTCTGCAATTTCAATTCACTGCCATTTACATATCTGCACATTTTAAAGTTTTCTTGTCATTTACATTTTACGTCTTTTACTTTTGTTAAAGTTTCTGCATTTATATATCATGCAATTTTAAGGTTTTTTGCATTTACATTAGTCTGCAATTTAATATTCTGCATTATTCTCTAAAATACCAAAAAATAGTACTTTTGATTTCAATATGCATGCTTTATCACCTTCCATGTTTTGAATGTACGCGCATGCCTTGAAGATTTAGATTTTGATATTGTGATGTTATCGATTTTCATACATGTTTCGATTGAAAAACTTATTTGCTAGCCTAAATAAAAAGAATCTACGTGGTTGAAAGTTGGTTAGAACCTAAGTCCCTAAGAAATCGAAAACAACCAAATTTCACCAGAAACAAATTGGTGCGCCAGGTAGGGGTGAGTGTGTTCAACACACGAAAGTTTGGCTAGTTCGAAAGTGTATGAGATTAAGGAGTGGACGAATAGTTAAGATGAGTCAGAATCCACCAAATAGTCAGGGTAACAGTGAGATTACTAATAGTCCGAATCCACCAATCACTGGGGGGCAAGTTCACAATGGAACTATGCCTGTAATATCGACAACTGTGAGTGTGTCGATTCCAGTAAGTACTGAACAAAGCCCAGGGACATTAGCAAATGCTCAGTTAATAGGGTCTGGAACTGTAATGTCAAATAACATGCAAACTATGGGAAGCCCCGTAACAACGTGTGCAGGCCCATATACGAGTGTAAGACCACCTAATTTTACGTTTAATAATATGAATGGGGCTGGTACTTCTTCGATACAACAAAGTACGAGGTTTAACCTAGGAATGCCCCAAAACTCAGGAACATTTCAAACCTTAGGTATGCCTCAAAATTTTGGAGTATCCCCGACATTAGGTGCGTCCCAAAATTTAGTAACACCTCAAAATCCAGGATGTGCACAAAGTTTAGGAATACAACAGATGTCTCCAATTCCAAATCAGGATAATAGGGCAAATCTGGACCATGGGAGGTATGCATTTGATAGAGATTATCATCGATCCAATTTCGATGTCATCGAGAATGCTAGTACTGAAATTTCCAGTAATTCATTAGGAGTATTTTGACAACAAATGGATGAGAGTAATTTTGAGATGGTTAACGTGTTGTCACAACAATTAACTACAGTATTAAATCCATTAATTCAAAACACTACTAATAGTTTTGAGATATTGGCTGATCAAATGGCACGCATTGGGAATGCATTGGCAATACCTCGACAAACGAGGATCGAGAATAATGCCAATCAGGATAATAACCAAAACTTCAATATTAACCCCCCTTATTTATTAAGGAGAAATCGAAATGCTAATCAATATCAGCATGATAGGAATGAGTATCAGCATGTGAGGAATGATGCTCACGGAAATTTAAATGGAGGGTTTCAAAACATGTATAATCAAAATAACATGCAGTACAACCATATGTTAGGACAAAGGATGATTCCCCAAGGAGTGGAATTAAGACTTCCGAACCAACCCTATTTTGTTTCTCCTTTTCCAAATACAATTCTCGAGACAGAATTACCTCGAGGATATAAAATATCCAAATTCACCAAGTTTGTTGGAGATATCGGTGAATCCACTATCGAGCATGTGACATGATATCAAATCGAGTGTGGGGATATAGCTATGAATGAGGAATTAAAAATGAAATATTTCCCTAGTTCATTAACAAAGAATGCCTTTACTTGGTTTACCAGTTTGCCACCTAACTTGATATATAATTGGCTGCAGTTAGAAAGAAACTTTCATGAGCAGTTTTTTAGGGGAGAAACCCAAGTAAGTCTCATCGATTTAATGAATATAAAAAGGTATAATCATGAAAATATCGATGATTATTTGAATAGATTCAGACAAATGAAATCGAGATGTTTTACTCAGATTCCTGAATTTGAATTAGTCAGAATGACCTCTACAGATTTAGAGTTCTCGATTAGGAAGAAGTTGGTTAATTTACCGTTGAATGACATGGCTCAATTAGCCGATAAAGTAATAAGAGTGGAACAAATCGAGTATGAGAAGGAAAGATATAAGAAATTTGAGAAACCTATGAAGAAAGAAAGGGTGACATACATAAATGAAATGTATGAAGAAAATCCTAAGTTAGAGGTAGAAAATGAAAATTCTATCGATGAGAAAGTAAACATTGCAGAGCTCAAAGTAGGAGCCCCATATATTTGTAAATTGTTGCAGAAAAACGAGGTAAAAGATAAAATGGCAAATCGGACATACACTTTCGATGTAATAAAAGCGGATAAAATCTTCGATATTTTATTGAAAGATAAACATATCAAATTAAG